CTTGGTGCGGCACTACCCCAACGGGGGCCTTCCAGATGCAGCGCCTAACAAGGTGATGAAGATGGTGTCCACCATAGCCAGGTAAGTACCTCGCCACTGTCCCCCTTGGTCCCCTTCTCCCTCCTCCTCCTACCGGCCGAGCTCCACCATAGCCGAGGTGGAAGCTCCCGGCTTCTTCCTCCCAGCAGCGCTCTTCCAACCAGCGCTCCAACAGCGTGACGCCCAACTCGCACACTGAAGAATGCGGCCGAGCTCTTGCCTCGGCCTCTTGATATAGCGGCCTGCTTGCCTCCTGGGCGGTGACTTCCAGGCCGCTCGGCCTCCCAAGCAACCGGTACCTCCTCCCTTTCGGAGGGAAACATCATTGCAGACTCTGATATTGACCGTACAGGCTCTAGACTCAGACTGGATGGACTGGTACCGGCCTAGACCTAGCCTACCGCTACTGGGCCTCTAAAAATGCCAACTTTGTCTTCTTCTGCTCGGCCTCGAGTACCCGGCACATCTACTGCTACTGGGTGCGGTACCGGCCTACCTGCTACTTGAGTGTTTTTCCGCTGCTCTAAGTGCCGTGGGCCTCTGGCTCCATCACTTGAGTGTTTTCCCCTGCTGCCACCCTCAATGCCACGGCCACAGGTAAGTACCGGCCCTACGGGCCTGCCAAACAAGCAAGTACCCTTGCGGGTCACACACACACTCATGCCGACAAGCACTCAGACAGGCATGCAAGTCAACTGGCACGCACACATACAGACTTAGAAAACACAGCAGAATGCGGGAATCCCAGCAAGGCATCCATTCCATCGACAGAGCTTCAGAAATCAGCAGTGTTCTCCGTCTGTGTTATGGCGGGTCATTACAAGGGGGTACACCAGCAAAAAACCAACGATAATTCCCCCTTCTTCTCGCGAATCAAACTCCTCCTCCTTTTCTCCCCCCCTCTTATTCAAACAATATTACAATAAATAATAATAATAATGATGATGAATGGCAGAACCGGAATCAATGTCCAAATCCCGCTTTTACTTGCCAGTACAACTTGAGCTCCACCATAGCCACGACTGCCCTTCTCCTTCCTCTTCACTTAGGCCGAGGCTATGGTGGACTACTAAGGGCCTTGCCCTGATGTGCAAAAGACAACGCAAAGCAGCTATGGCCTCTTCCACTCAGGCCGCCATGCTTGACTCTGCCCCAAAGCTTCTTTATGCAGCTCTACCCCAATGGGGCCCTTCCAGATGCAGCGCCCACTAAGGTGATGAAGATGACGTCCACCATAGCCAGGTGACTACCCCTGGCGCTCCTCTCTCCTAGTCAGTCCCCTTCTTCCTCCTCCTCCTACCCGAGATCCTCCACCATAGCCAAGGTGGAGAGCCGGGCGCTCCTCTTCTCCCCAGCGCCGGACTCAGAGTGCTGCAACCAGTGCTCCAGCAGCGTGACGTCCATACTTGCACACAGCAAATGAGGAAGGAGGGCTGATTGCTCTTCCTGGAGATATAATGAGGCAGCAGCCTCTTTGGGCGGTGACTTTCTGGCCGCGCGGCCTCCAAGCAACCGGTACCTCCTCCCTTTCGGAGGGAAACATCATTGCAGGCTCTGATATCGTCCGCACAGGCCCTAGACTCAGACTACTTGGACTCGTACCCACCTAGACCTGGCCTACCAGCTACTGGGCCACTAAAAATGCCAACTTTTGTCTTCTTCTGCTCGGCCTCCAGTCCCCAACACATCTACCGTTACTTGAGGGGTACCGGCCTACCTGCTACTTGAGTGTTTTTTTTCCCCGCTGCTCTAAGTGTCGCGGGTCCCTACTCCCGCTACTTGAGTGTTTCCCTGCTGCAACTGTCAAAGCCACGGCCACAGGTAAGTACCGGCCCTGCAGGGCCTCCCAAGCAAGCAAGTGCCATTGCGGGCCACACACACACTCACGCCGACAAGCACTCAGACAGGCACGCAGACCACCAAGCATGCACGTCATTCTTCCATACTGATGACATGTCAGCAACATGCCATGTGTCGTCAGTGCTTCCAGGAAGCAGTCATAGAAAGTATGTGTCTTTACTGCGTGGACTATCC